TTTTTTTTTTTTTTTATTGTGACCAAGACACATACTATACCGAACATTTCCCCCGTTTCTACACTGTGGAATACGCTGTTTCTAAATGCGGGGTGACTGTGGCTAAGTGGAGAGCAGGGCCGTCCTTCAGTCAGAGAAATCGCCGGTTCAATCCCCGGCTCCGGCTCCGCTAGTCGCATGTTGATGTGTCCTTAACCCCAAAATTGCTCCCGTAGCTGTGCGCCTACCTAATGTGATAGAATCTGAATTGTAAGTCGCTTTGGATAGAAGCATCTGCTAAATGACTGTAATGTAATGTAAATAACCTCGTGCCTAGTTTAGCATCTATGGACGTAGATCCATCTCCGGTCAGTCTGGCAGAAGTATCGGTCCAGCTCTACTCATGACGTTTGGACAGCCGGAGAAACCGTCAACCCGTCAATTACTGCACGTCGCTTCATAGCATCTGAGAGACACATCAAGCAGCTCGGAAACAATTAGTGATGGATTCGTTGATTGACAGAAAAAAAAAAAATGCCAAACATTACGGTGCAGCGGTGGAGTTTAAGATACATACAATACCTACTGTAGTTAAGTACAACTTTGAGGTACTTGTCCTTTACTTGAGTATCCACATTTCACATTAATTTAACAACCTTAGTTGCTGGTATTTACAAAAGCGATGATGAACAACATCTTAAATGCAGCATTTTTAATTGTAATGGAGTATTTCTCCTCTCTGGTATCTGAGGATCTGAATACTTCTTTCACCACTTATAACAAATAACTGTGTAATGTTTGTCTGTATTTATTAAAACCACTCTAAAATACAGCACTTGTATATCCATAATCTGCATTCATCTGCATGTTTTAACAGACACTAACCCGTTATTACAGCACAGAAACAACTACACTAAACTCTTGTGCCTCCTTTCAATTTTCCAGATTTCTCTTTCTCCCGTCCATCCTTCCCTCCTTCCCTCCTTCCCTCTCCTCATATTTTCAAGAAAACATTCATTAAATCTACTGAATTTGGGTCCCAGGCAGAATAAAGTCTTAGCGCTTTCCCTCTGGTGTATTCCTTTAAATCCGTTCAGCTAAGCTCGGCTGCTTTCACATTAACATAGCAGACTGAGATCAACATATTTTAGAAACATTATGACATCGGAATGAATTTACTCCATAAAAAAATAAATGTTGATTTCTCTGATGGGCAGAAAAAGCTACTCTCGGTTCACGTCACATTCACTGCGATACCTCTGGTGCCTTCCCATCACATTCAGTCTGGCTTGTTTAAATCCACATTAGCATAAACGTATAAACACATCTGTAGTTGCTCTTTGGAGACCTTTTAACGAAAAATTTACTTTTTTTTAAAAAACATTTTCAGCATAGATCCTCGCAAAGAATAAACATTTCACAGGATCAGGCTGCACCTTTGAGCACAAAGTGCGATAAACATCAGCGGGTAAATCAATCCATTTTTCTCACCCTTCCTGATACGTTTGCTTTTTCTGAAGATGCCGTATGAGCTTTCTGCAGGACAGCGATATTATGAATAAGTCACATTTCTCAGTTTGTTTACAGTCGTTGTCTGGATTCATTCCACACTGGTGTCTCTAGTGAGTTCACTTCATATCCATTCATGCAAATCAGGGCTGCTGACATTCACATTAATACACACAGAACTAAAACAAGTCAACTTTTCTGGCAACTTCTCAGAACTTTAGAAATTTTACCATATATTACCATCTTTCATCGGTGGAGTTGTTCGGCTTGGCTCTATAGAGCAGGCCTATTCAATTGGTTGCCGTGGTTCGCGATTTGGTGGTTGATTATTGAATATTTTTGCAGGTTGGGCGGCGCAGATTGGCTCTCATTAACGGGTCGGTGCTGATAATGAAAATACTAAGATATAGTGTATGGATGTAACTAGCGAGTTAGTGCTTCCATCCCATCTCTGTAGGGAGTCTCACATGCCAAACATATCTTTTATAAATCAACGTTTTCTCATGATCTGTAGAGATCAGACTTTTTCAGTCCCGATACCGATGCCTGGTTATGTGCCAGGCAACATCAGGCCTAACTTAAAGTTATCCTGCTATTAGAGTCAGCATAACACCGATATCCAATATCCAGTATTGATATCGGTGCATCTCTAATGCGGAAGCAACCAAAGCCAAAAAAAAAAAAAACACTCTCAACTACTATCACATTTAGATTCAATATTGATTGATTGGTGCACCAATAGTCCTGCTGACTTCAAACCGGTGAGAAGAGCACGGACACAGAAAATCTATTTTGTAAACTAGCCAAAAGCTTCAGAAAACGTTGTGTTCATGTAGCATTCCAGCACTCAAGGACAGTGAAACATCAATTCAATTATCACAACTGCAGTCAGTTTATTGTCCGTTGATTGATAAGCGATAACTCGACGGACTGCTTCGGCGTTATCCCAGTTCATCCGTCAGTCCGCCGACAAAGACAATCTCTTTGCCCAACTCTCCTGCGAGGTTGCTTGAATATTTTTGTTATGATGCTTCAAACAAATGCGTCGCGTTTCCATCCGTCTCCTCAAGCCAGCATAAAATCAACAACCTTTTCTTTTTCTGTTTCTAAAGCTTCCGTTGTTTGTGTTTCCCTCACTGCTCCATCTCGCTGCTTCAACCTCTTCTTCTCTCTCTCTCTCTCTCTCGTGCCCTCTGGACCTTCCGTCTACCTGTTTCACCCGTCCATTCTCGAACATCGATGTCTCCTGCAACGCCTAATAACTTTTCAACACACCCTCCTTCCTCTCTTCTCTCCATTTCCGCCCTCCTCCTCCTCCTCCTCCTCTTCTCTTTCTGATTATCTCCTGGCGTCTCTCTGAGCTCCGTCGCTGATAGAGAGCACGCCTGGCTGACACGCCTGGTAATGAGGCTCCTAATGCAGATGGCCTCTCCCGCCCTCTTCCACACACACACACACACATACACACACACACACACACAGAGTATACTTGAAGCACACCTCCTGATGGCAACCTGTACCCCTACTCCTCCCCTCTACCCCTCTGCAGGAGGTCTAAAGCCCTCCTGGGTTAAACAGTAGCTGGAGATGTTTTGAAGAGGAGAAGTAGAAAAAAGCATGACGAGCGCTAAATTTGTCTCATCTTTCAAGCAACAGTCACCGACGCCAAGCCCTCACTCTGCAGACACACACCTGCAAACAAACCCTGCACACGCGCTCATAACGTTCAAACAGCTTACCAACCGTCTTCATGTATTCTACAGCGTTTTTGTCATAAGGAATGAATATTTTGACTCGTATCGTGCACCGTGTTGTATTGATTTTGTCCCATCTCTGCTGAGGGCATTGTTGCTCATTTTTCATTGTTGAATATGTCACGGCCCTAACACACAAAAAGCACATAATTAGTCTCTCACAACCTCACAAACACACCGAGTAAAAGAGCGGCAAGCTCCTCTCAAGCGCATTTCATGACTTGATTTGATCTTTAGAAAGGGTTTGTTCACCTGAATGACAAACACATAGAATATTGTCTTACTTTAACCCTGCGGGTGTCCAGGCTGATTGATGTGGTTTTATTTGTCTGGGTTTTGAGAGATTCGTCTGAGATTTCTGCCTGCACAGCTATGAAGGGGATAGGAACTGAATTTAGTTTGTGGTGCTCAAAACATTAAAAATAGTATTTTATAAATTCTAAATCAATGAGATGTGTCCAGAGACAGCATCATCTGTGTCTCTGGATAATCCACAGCACACAATGTAACACTCAACACTTTGAAATCCACTTTGACTGTGAAAAGAATTGGATAACTTATCTGCGTGGCTAGATCCTACTAGAGATGTAAAGAGAGAACAAAAAAAAGAAAAGAAAACGTGTGTATTCATAATTTGGGTGAATAACCGTCGAGTCATGTTGCGATTGATTGTTGGCTTTCTTAGAGGAACACAGAGAGGCCAGCCTGTCGGTCAGCCAACCAGTAGAACACTGATAGAAACACTACGTACTTCTAAAATGAAATATCAAATGACAATCTGAACTTCGTATCATTTGGAAAGTGACCCCTGGGCCAACTGCACAAAGTCCAAAACCAATATGGCACACTGTCAAAAAAAAAAAAAAAAAGATATATTCCTTCACAAACTGAATCTTGTAAATCATCTTGATTTTTACCAATGGAACAGAGACACGTGGCCTATTCAATAGCTTACATATCATTGGCTTAGGAAACACTGTTCTTAGAACGTTCATGCCAGTAAAGCCCTGCTGTACTGCAGTAGAAGTGTACAGTCTACATTACGAGTGACTAATGCACTGTCTGGAACCATGTGAAAAGTTGAAAACAAGACCCCCTCTGGGGAGGAAATATATCCTTGGAGACTGTGACGTGCAGAGCACACTGGGTGATGATCAACTCTGTTTGCAAAGCCGTAACTGCAAAAGGGCAAAATCCAAATGGCATATCCGTGTGCTGTTAGTATACTTGAGCTATGTCAAGTTCCATCATGTTGACTTGATTTATGGGTCTGAAAATAACAACAATTCCAACTAAGGCGTCTGACCACTGATGATTTATGCTGTTTCTCAATGTTCTCAGGTCACATAAACACCACAAACAACTGTCACTAACTTACAAGCAAGCATGTGTTTGGCTCTTGTGTGTTTGTTTTAATTAGGGGCTAACACGGTGTATGTCATTGAAGGGGTTTCCATATGATTTGCCCTCTTCTGTTGAAGATAAACAACCCACCAGCAAAGAGTTTTCATCTGCGGGATTAATGAGGAGGTTCTCCTGCTTACTAAACTGATGTGAGGACGTGTGAACAGTCTCTTTCGTGGTCACACGTGACACTTTTCACTTGACTGATTAGCTTATTAAGGGAAATAAGCAGCAACTCTTGAGTGAGTGACCCCCGAGCTCATTTGGGTCTCGTTCTGCGGCAAATGGCTCACGCGGTGCCGAGTATCGGTGTATCGATCGTCAGTCTTATCTATCAGTCTCGTGGGGACTCACCTCTCTGCTGGGCATGGCCGCATTGCCATAGCAACGCGGTCAGAAGCACGAGCCGGAGTCGCTTCATTTCGTCCCGTGTTGAAGTTTGATGTCGTACCGCGCGCGCGCGCTGCGGAGTCAGAGCTGAGGTCCTCTCGTGCAGCTAGCTGTGTTGCGTTTAAAGTCAGAGGAAAGTTTCACAGAAGTTGTCCCAAACTCACTCTCTCTCTCTCTCTCTCTCTCTCTCTCTCTCTCTCCCCCCTCTCTCTCTCACACACACTCTCTCTCTCCACTCCTCTTCTTCTCATGTATCTTTATAGATAGATAGAGAGATAGATAGGTAGATAGATAGATACAAATATACATACAAACATACATACATTTTTTAAATGCAGCAACACCACATTTTGCAAATACTCATTTACAAGTAAACTTCCTATTTTCATAATTTTACTCAAGCACAAGCCTATCCTTTTTTAAGAGTTATTGTTATGATATTATCTAAGTATTATTTCTGATGCAAGTGTAAGCAGCATTTTCATGTTTTAGCTGGTTGAGACTATCTTTATCTTAATTTGGCCTACTTAATAATCTGGATAGTTTAATCTATAGCAATGCATCATATTGTATCACCTGATCTTGTGTTTTGAGTAATCACATTACTTTTTGTTGTAGTCCACTGAGCCATCAATATATTGTAAGTGAACGTTTGACAGCTGGAAAAACAAAGATCACGTGAAACTGTTTGGGCATGAGGCAGGTTCTAAAACAATTAATCCATAAAGGGGTTTAAAGCTACTGTACATCAGTGTTCTGCAGAACTTTTGTGAATAAAAGCTTCAAATACAAAGCAAATGAAACGTTGCATCAGCACAGCTTTGGCTACCACGAACAAAGAGAAGGCAAAAGAAAAGAGTGTGAAAGCTCTGAATGGAGCACGGAATACTTCAGAAGTGGAGAGTTGGACAGACGTTTCGGTGCAGTTGTGTCCAGTGAGGGACACGACTGTTCTGTGGCTCCTCCTGCTGCCCTGCACAACTCACCACAGTCTGGGGCAAAACTGGGGCGTGAACATAAAAGCACTGCCAACATACAGAGTAATGTAAGTTGAAATAATGTCCATAGTGTATCCATTTGAGTAAAGGTTTGTTATTAAACTCATGTTTGAAACTTCCAAAAAAGTTTCTTTAGTGAAACGTGAAACTACTTGAAGTTGATTTTTAATGATGATGCAAAGGTTGCAAATCAATGACACAGATAGCGCAGTTAGTAATTATCAAAACAGAACAATTAAGCCTGTAGGTTAACATTTTAATTACAGCATTGCTATTATATCATGTGGGTGTATATTTTATCTCAGCATGTAAAGGTTTTTTATCCTCCACTTTATCCCTGAATGTACGTATCTGCTGTGAAGGCCACTTAGCTGTTTACTCCTTCACTGTTGGAAACACTAGTGTATTATAATGTTACAGCTCACCAACTTGTCAATCACTTCATACACCTGTGCATGTGTGCAGTTATGCAAGTGACTCGTGCAATTGTGTGTGTGTGTGTGTGTGTGTGTGTGTGTGTGTGTGTGTGTGTGTCTGAGGGTAAAATTTGTGTATGAAAATGTTTATGTGTCCAGTTTTAGTCCAGCTCCCCTAGACCCTCAGACCTCCAGAGGCTGGGAGGCTGACTCTGCACACGGTGAGGCTGAAGATGGGCTCTCTTCACTGGGCTCGGAGCTCTGGGCAGCCCCGGAGTGCTGCTGGGTCTCTGTGGGGCTGGGCAGTGTCGAGGCTACATCTGGACTGGACATCAAGGTGAGTCACATTCATGTATTGAAATACTTGAACTTAATGTACATATCAATGTAATAGGTGCATTATCATCATTTGTGTTCTTTTCTTTTTTTACATAACATATTAAACTTCAGTCATGTCGAGTATCTGTCAAGATAATTGACAGATACACGAAAATATCTCTGTATTATGTAGGATTATAGATAAGTAGAAATGTGTATTTATCATGAATGTATACCTGTACTACTATGCATTTGCTTACGCATAAGTAGAAAAATAGATAAGTGAAGTATAAAATAACTGGTGTTGTTCTTTGTATATGCTAATATTGTTCTTAATATGTAATATTTATTGTTGTTTTTCATTAAGTTAATCTCTACTCCAGCAATTTACCCCAGCATAGTGACATTGTTTTGATCGTGTGATGTGGTCTGTCAAATTCATTATGTCATTTTGCATGTGAAGGAATGGCAGGGTCAAACGCTCACACAATCTGATCTTCCTATTGGAGTAAAGATATGCTGTTTTAAAGTAGACGAGGGCCCAGAGATTATGAACTCAAAATTCTATAGAGTGGTTTTGTTCAGCAGGTTATTTCAGGAGGATGAGGAGATGCTGATTCTGACCCACAGTGATGAGTTGAACAGAACCTATGGTGAGGACAGCACAATGCCTTTTGACAACATCGCAAACAAAAATAACACATGCTCCGATGACACTAGAAGAAATAGAACCTCATTTAGAAGAAACGGCCAGTCTCTGACTGAGCAAGATAACCCCAGTGTCCCAGAATCCACCAGCACCTTCCCGCAGGAGAGCCCAGCTTTTAAAGAAACCACAGCTACTGTAATCTCCACTGGACCCAGAACCATCACCATAACTTCCGCGGTTTCCACTGTAGACTCCCTCTGGTTCAAAAACACCAACGGTTATGGCAAAGGAAGAAGATCCTCGGAGATGCACGCTGACAAGATGGGAAGCGACACCGAGGAGAACCCGAGTTTCACCCAGAGCCAAGGTAACAAGCGAGGATCCTGCAGGATGTCGAGAGGGAATATGCAGAATAAGAGACTTTCTGAGGACAGAGAAGAGAAACAAGAAGGAGAGGAAACTGTGGAGGGGATGTCTCAGTTCTGTACCAGCCTTGATGTAGAGAGAAGGATGAGGAGGATGAGTTTGGCTAATCCAGATCAGAGCCCCAATACCGGCAGCAGAAGTGCGAATCCTACTCTCACCATCACCGCCTGGGAGGCTGGCTGGAATGTCACAAACGCGATACAGGTACACTTATTCAGTATCAGGCATGGTCAGAAATCATTGCCATGCATCAGAGAAAAGTTACATTGCAATATAGATTTGGTGACTTTCGTATTTTAACCCATTAACAATTTATTTTTCCATTATTTTAGTTTATTAACCCCAGTTTAGTTTATTCATTCAGATTACTGTAAACCATTGTCGAACTCCATCATTTATTTCAGACTTATGATTATGTTTTCCTACTTTTCCAGGCAGCCGTATCATGTAACTATACTGGGATCCCTCTTTGATCCCTTTTTCCTGTTTCCTTAAAAGACACATAACCAATGTGAGTCACGGAAGATGTAAGGCTCTGCCAAATGAATGTGATGTAATGAAGAATGATACGAAGCCTAATCCATGACAATGAGTTATACGTTTCATTAAAAGTTATTCAATCATTGCGTAGCAATCTAGTTGTGAAGCCCAACCGTTCCTTGTTTCAAATTTGGAGTTGGCTGCTGAGTTTGATTTTCTGATAACATAGCCCATGTTTACTGCAGCTGCAAACTTGAAATTCATTATTTTGTTGGTTCAATTTCAGCATGTCGTTCCTCCTTTTTGTCAAAAACATTATGTCTCTCTCTCTCTCTCTCTCTCTCTCTCGCTTGCAAAATGCAAATGTTAATGTAAATGCAAACCGTTTAGGCGGCGAGCTGCACAGTGCATTCAAAAAGCATTAAGCACGCAGAGTATTTGATTCGCTCCCATTGTGTTTGGATATCAACTAAACAATGCTCTGTGGTCTTGCAGGCTGTTTGTCAGGCACTCTCCAGTCTTCGTAATCAAATAAAGTGTGAATCAAATTGTTTAAAAACAAAAAAAAAAGAGAAAAGCTCCCGGTCACAGTGTCTCCTCGTGGCAGTAATGCTAATAGCTTATTATGCTGTAAATGCTGAGCTGTATTCAACTGCTGCACTCATGTAAATGTGTCCTTTCACTGAATAACTGCTGTGTAATTCAACAGCGTCGCTGGGTCTGTAAAGAACATTATGACATTATAGGGCACCAATACGGTGTACGCATGCATAGGCCTACACACACACACACACACAGGCATGCTAACAGATGAAAACACATGCATGCAAACCATCTCCTTCAGGAGTCAAGGTGAATTTACATCAAATGCTGTAATTCAGCGGTCAGAGCTGTTGTCATTCAATAAATTACGCATACCAACACATTATATTTCGTAGATAAACAACTGTTTTATGTGCTTGGTTTATTGATATCTATCTGAGATATATTTTCCATTTTAATTAGAGACCAAAAGGTCTGTGATATATTCCATATTCCATATTTAAATTCCCCATTCAAATCCATGATTTGTTACTTCTGTAACCTCCGTGCTTAGCTATATTTGAGTTAATTTATCCCTGAAACCATCCTGGGAATTGAATAGTTTCTATTTGACTGTTTTTTACTGCAGCATGTTTTTTTGGGGGGGGTTCTCTAAACTCTGCTAAAACAGTATCGGCCTGTTTCGGGGGTTGGGTTGCTTTATGTTTTATAGGTTATTCATTACCTGCAGCTCAATGTAATCAGGAACCTTAACCAAAAGGATTGCTCAGTAATTCCTTCTGTTGAGGTCACCGATAGGTTAAGTCGAGGTGACTATTGGATGACTAACGTAGCAGGAAGGAGTCTTTTGTATTAAAGGTGGTGATTCACGTGATGCTTGAAAATCTCAGATGGTGACGGATGACCACGTAGTAACAATATCAGACACAGAATGTATCTGATGTATAAACATCGGAGCCATGATGACAGATCCATTTGTTAAGAGGCTAACAGATGTCTGAGTAATGGAAAAAAAAGAACATCAGTTTTATCTCCTATCAGGGCTAAAAAGAAAATATGTATTTTCCGGTGGTTGTATATTGATGCCAACATAACTATGTGATATGACTGTCTGCCAGCCTAATAAAGTTTTTATTAGAGAGTGAATTTGCTGCCAAAAAACGCAAAAAACAGCTCCAGCTCTCAAGACTTGGGAATATTATGAAACTGCAGATCCTCTTTGTGTGGCTTCCTCCATGAGAGACATGGACCTTTTGGTTCTGAAAAAAAAAATCTCTTGATCTG